ATTCCGTTTTTAAATTTAAAAACCGGATTTTTAGTGAATACCTGAATTTTTTATTCAGACCCCTGTGGTCCAGGGAACCGGCATGGCTGATGGACGGTCTCATGACGGTTCTTGATCGCAATGTCGACCAAAGACGAAGACCGCAAAAGAATGTCCCCGACCTTAAAATAAAGGCCGAAGTGAGTGAGCTGGCTGCAATTAAATCATACCTCGTGGGTGTGTTGCAGTTCTGGGACTGCGTGCAAACTAGCGCATCTCTATATCAGTAACCGGCAACGGTATCCAAGATCGGTGAGCCACAAAAAGACACTGGTCAACCGTGTGCAGCGGAAAGCTGACAAAGTACAAGCCGGATGATGAAAATTTGCATTCATATGATACTTTGCCGGACGAATAGAGTCCTGGTTTAGAACAAAGTGGATGGCTGAAGTGATCAATCCTGCCGCACCTGCACTTGTACGTAAGGATTAGGCACTCACCAACCCGGAACTGCTAAAAAGTAACCTGAGGCTTGTGGCTTGTCCGTTATGGACTATCAGTATTGGTGCTCAACCTCTAGATATTCCTGGGCTTGCGGAAGTATCAGCTATATTCACAGAGAGGGCTGCTTGCGGCTAAGCCGTTCAACATTTACATATCCTTGATGTTAGCACTGTTAAGCACAACAACTATCGTATAGTTCTATCGTGAAGAGCACAGGACCTGTTGTATCCGACAGGTGCTCAAACTCGACGTAAAAGGCATTTTTCATTTGAATTGAGAGGAGCGTGGAGAGTGGTGCTGCACTGCCTCCACGCCGAAGCCTCTCAAGAAACTTCTAATTGTAAACTATTTATCTGTATTTAACGTATTTAACTCTCGTTTCGCTAAATACGTAATTAAGTTTAAAAAAATAACAGCTCTAACTGCCACGGCTGACTTTTAGACGTTTTGAACGTTTTAGACACTGTTTAGGGTGTCAGGGCACCAAGGAGACACTGGAGCACATCTTCTGGGACTGTGCATGTGCTCAAGTATGCTGGCAGAAACTCATCTGCCAATGGACAGGGGAATGTTGGACCCAGGCTACTCTACACAACTTCCAAAAGAACTGTGCAAGTAGACAAGCTCCAGAACTGTCCAAAACGATCACAGAAAAGCTACGAAATCTCTACCCAGATGAGGCCTCTCAGTACGCAATAGTTTGGAAACGGCTGTGGAGAATACTCTGCAGTATCTGCATAACAACACTCTGGATACAGCGCAACCGGGTAGTTTTTCAGCATGAAGAAGTAACATTGGACGGAAGTCTGCAGGAGTTCTGGACTACAGGACAAAGGCAAATACGAGCAGTCGCCATACGTGAACGACGGTGCCCAGAACGTATAGAAAGCGGGACGCGTCTCCTACTCTGCTTACAAGAGTTAGACAACCAGCCCAAAGAGATGTTCCCTCACAGGACAAGCTTCGTACATCCTCGGTGTCCAAAGGAAACCGAC